GTCAGAGGGCCTAGATGCGCGGACCACTGTGCCGAGAAGCGTCGCGTCCCGTATTCCATTGGTGGTGGGGCCTGACAAGGAAACGGGTGAGGATATTTTGCAGCACGTCTCAATGGAATTTTCGCGTGAGAAGCTTCTACAGCGGGCGGCTGAAAATATTTTTACCTGGCAGCTCTTCTCGGCGGGACCGTACCTCAGTTTTAGAAAGGAGAGCGTGTCGCTGCTGAAGAAGTTGTATGCGTCGAAAAAGGTAGTTAAACAAGAGCTGGGCCTCCTTGAGGGTCTCTTGGGCCAATTACGCGAACTTTCTGTTAGCACGAAGACGCTCAATCAAGTTATAACCATGCCATCAAATAGTATGCATGACGCTGAGGACTCTTCCAAGTGTGTTGTGCCTGTGGACGACCTTCAAGCACATGCGCTTGAATTTCTCAGTGAAATACACGCTTTGGATGATGCTTTGGAGCTGCTTGAGAGGTCGTTAAGGGCTGGTCAGCTGTCTTGCGAGGAGTATGTGCGGCGTGTGTCTGACATTGGGCGGGAACAGTTCGAGGCAAGGTTTCTTTTTGCCCGTGTGGCTGAGGCTGTGAATCGTGTTTGTGCCAAGACAGGTCAACCGTTGCCAACTATGCCTCCGCGAACCACCTCAAAGCCGGCTCCTGGCAACGGCCCTATTCAAGTGCCGACGAAGATGAAAAGTGTGGATTTGTTGCTTAGAGAGTTTCCTGAGGTGGACTCGGAGATGGTGAAGACGGTGCTCAACGCTGTGGACGGAAACGTGCCGGATGCCCGCGTTCAGCTGAAGGCAATGCTCTCGTAGTGCCGTGATGCCTCCCTGCCCAACCGTGTTTGTGATCGAGTGGCATATATATATATATGTGTGTGTGTGTGTATGTATGGCTCTTGCCTACCGTTTTTGTTTTGCTTTTTGTTTTTCGCTGCCTTTGTTGTTAGTGATTTTTTTAAGAAAAAAGAGAATGATGCAGCCTTGACCTTTCTCTAGTCGCGTGTTTGTTTGCCTGTAGGTATGTGTCTGTGCGTGTGTGTGTGTGTGATTTCGCACGCTTCTCCGTCATTCCGCACACTTCCTCTTTTCACCTTCCTTCTTTTTTTTGTTATAGGTTTCTCTCGATTCATGACCGTTTCCTTCTGGCCTCTCGCTCTCTCTCTCTCTCTCTCTCTCTCTCTCTCTCTCTCCCTCTTCCTTGCTTCTACTTCCATCCCGGTTGGGGGATTTAAGAAAGGGCCATCAACGCAATGATGGCATCGAACGGCCCTCGGCTGAGCCCGATGGATAGGTGGTACAGGGAATTGCTGTATTGCACCAAAGCTGCCAACTTGAGTGATGTGTATGGAAGCAAAAACGCGGCAGAGGCTGTGGCACGGCACCTACGCGACTACCTGCCACACGCCATGGAATTCCCTGCGAGGCTGTTCTTCCTCGAGAAGGGGAACAACCGCGCGGTCGCTATGACTTTTCTCATTTCTGTGACTCCGGAGCGCAGCATGGTTGCTGTTAGTGCCGAAGTTGGAATTCTGTTTCCTCAAACGTTTCCTATGAGCCCATTGCGGTGCCGTGTGCGAGTTCGGGATGCAGGGAAAGAGTTCACGGAGGGCAACTTTTCAAATGAGGTCGCGATGTGTCTTTGTTGTCTGGCGTGTTTGGTGGATACGCCATCTCCGTATCCACTCATAGACGTTCTCAAAGGTGTTTTCAACGAACTCCGGGAGAACCTGCCGTCCTTCATCACAAATGCTCCATTCCAATGTCGGTGCCAAGGTAAAAGTGCGTCAGAGGGCCTAGATGCGCGGACCACTGTGCCGAGAAGCGTCGCGTCCCGTATTCCATTGGTGGTGGGGCCTGACAAGGAAACGGGTGAGGATATTTTGCAGCACGTCTCAATGGAATGCTCGCGTGAGAAGCTTCTACAGCGGGCGGCTGAAAATATTTTTACCTGGCAGCTCTTCTCGGCGGGACCGTACCTCAGTTTTAGGAAGGAGAGCGTGTCGCTGCTGAAGAAGTTGTATGCGTCGAAAAAGGTAGTTAAACAAGAGCTGGGCCTCCTTGAGGGTCTCTTGGGCCAATTACGCGAACTTTCTGTTAGCACGAAGACGCTCAATCAAGTTATAACCATGCCATCA